AACTGCGAATCCTAGCTCTCCATAATAGCTTATGTAATTTATGTATTTCACTGTTTAGAATAACTATTGTGAACTGATTATGCACCTTGCTGACGCTATTATACTGTCGTTACGAATAGACTCAAAGCGGATCAAAAGACCAAAGGGCAACTGCCACTCTCGACATTGATACTGAGACGTCGCATGATGCGCAGGCACTCTTCATCAAATCCCAAGAAATTAACAAGACTGTAAAATCGAATCAAGACAAAGTTTATCGAGGAATGAATAATTATGCTCAATATCTTGAGAAGAAAGATACTGTTATGGGCAACGCAGCGAGCGGCTTCAATAGAAAGGGTCCCATGCGTGCTCCTGCCCATCTGCGAGCTACTGTGCGATGGGACTACCAGCCGGATATTTGCAAGGTCTGTTTAGTCTCTTCCTTTCCATCTCCCTCTCTGTAGGACTATAAAGAAACAGGCTTCTGCAGTTTCGGCGACAGTTGCAAATTCTTGCACGATCGGTCAGATTACAAGCACGGCTGGCAGCTCGAGCAGGAATTTATTGAGGGCACCTATGGAATTGAGGGCAATGATGATCGTTACGAAATCAAATCTGATGGGGATGAGGATGACGATCTACATCTCCCTCTCAAATGTATCATTTGTCGTGGGGACTTCAAGGATCCAGTTGTGACGAAGTTTGTGGCATAAGTTGCTTTGCCTCTACATTTAAACCCCCATAATACTGCCATATTTTTCGTGGATCACATTAAGTCGTTGTAGCATTCAATCATTACGAAGGAGTGCCCATACGGATGCATTGTTTTCTTTTACACTTAGTTGTAAGCACTTCTTCTGTTCTGCGTGCGCATTGAAGCGGTTGAAGAAGACGACTCGATGCTACGCCTGCACTGAAGATACAAAAGGCGTCTTTAAGATGGCCAGGGACCTTCTTTCCCGCATTGCCGCCATTAAGGCCAAACAGAAGCATCGAGGGGAGCTGGAAGTAGATGAGGACGGGATAGCGGTAGCCGAAGGAAATCACGAGGGTCACCATGGTGAAAGTTGTTGTTCTCACTCGCACTCGATTGAAAACACCCATGGCGAACATTATATTAGCTCTTCCGATCTGGAAGACGATTCAGATGATGGCGGTAGACAGGAGTCAAAGGCAGCCACCACTTTTCCCACTCTTACTCGTCTAGAAGGAGCCAAACCCGAAGCTGTGGAAGACTGCGATACCAGTGAAGAGGAATCAGACTAATATATGTACATAAAGCCTACTCGCCCACTCCTATTTCGATTGAATGAAGTGCATTCTGTATAAAGCTTTATCATTTTTGATAGCTCTTCTATGTGGGTCTGTCTTTTGGTTTCGTCGATGGATTGTACATTTCCCTAACTCATTGTCATTGTATGTACTTCCATTGGGGTTTGGTTATGTAGTTCAGACATTTATAGCATAGTGAACTGAAATTATCCAGTGTTGGTTCTTATGTAGAAGACGTAATCTTATAAATTTTTGTGCTTGTCTAGGAGGACTATTACGCCATATTGGGATGTGAGGCGACAGAGGATGTGGCCAAGCTGAAAGCGGCGCTGCGATCACAACAATTGGAATGTCACCCGGACAAATGTCTAGATCTTGCGGTAGAAGAGCAGGCAAGGCGACGAGCGCGCTTTGAGGCGTTGGGGCGCGCCTGGTGTGTACTTGGCGATGTGGAGAGCAGACGGCGCTATGATGCTGCGATGCGTCAGGCGCGTCTGCAGCAAGCTGCATCCGCACCTCTCCACTGTAACATTCCCTGGACCGAATTCAAGGCTAGCCACGGAAATGACGTCGGCAACGACATCCACACTGTTATTGACCCAGCTGAAATCTATTTCTCGCCCTGTCGATGTGGTGGGGAATTTACTCTCGAAGGCGTCGCTGCCCTCGCTCAAATACCTTATGCCTATTGCTTTCAGTGCTCCCTCGTCGCTCTGGTCTCCTATCCTCCCGTTGAATCCAATAATAATATTCAGGATTAATCCGTCCCATATTTTTCGTTGATTGCTTGGTTGTTTGCATGGTCTGATACGTCCATGAAGTCATCCTTTAATTTCTGGAAACTACCATTACTTCTCGACTGCTCCTCGTCACTAACTGAAAAAAACGCTAGGATTTTTATTGAATAACTTCAACGTAGGCACCTATTACATTTGTTCGTATTGCACCAGTGCCGTCTCTTTTTT